TCGGCTCTATTTCGATTCTCTCCTCTGCGAGGGGAAATTGATTCCCTTCAACGCAACATTCGTATCTTCTTTCTATCACATATTGTTTCAATCGTAAAATCGTTTGCGCGACGTTGAAAGTCACTAGTTGTGATCCAAGGAAAGATTTTCAATGTCTTTCCCTGGAGTCTTCTCTGTGCGCGCTGTGCCTGCGCGATTCTTGACCGCTCGGTGTCACTGGCCTGCGCTTTGATCTTTTAAATTTCGCGATATCCTCGCCGAACACGTCGCCGGTTCGAAGGGCTGATATCAAGTCATCGAATTCACCCTTATTGTCATTTTGTCCATTGCTATTCGCCTCGTTCTTCTTGCTCAAGGAGATACTGTTCAATATTCCTTCCCGCGAATTCTTCCTCTCCATCGTTCGCTTCCGAAGCTAAAAAGGAATCGTTTCAGAAAGTAGAATTCGAAAAGCTTGAAATTTAGAAACAAGCACAAAGCTTACACATGGTGTTTTACGTACTTCTTGCTCCTGCTTTGCCCTCCGTTCTTCCTCTTCTATCTTCTTTCTCATGTTTTCTACATCTTGCCTGGCTTCGGCCAATGCTTGCAGGAAGTTCTCGAAAATGCCGAAGAACTCGTCCGGCTGAACGCCTGCCGAATCCTCACCAAACAGCCTTACTGCCCGGTCGAACTGTTCCAGAGGAATTTCAGTAAACGGAACGAAGGTTGACAATCTCGGCAGCTTATCTCGAAAAGACTTACTCTAGTCTTCATGTCTTGGAACAGATCCTCCGCTTCCGCTAATCTACACGTGGCCTGTGCTTGGAAATCCCTCATTGCTGGTAAAAACATGTCACCTTGAAGTACTTGAGATTGGCCACGATGGAATTCTGAGGAAAACCCGAAGAAAAGTAGAATATGTTGATACATTGAATGTATTAACATCATAACATCTTAACATCACAGTAGAATATGTTGATACATTGAATGTATTAACATCTATTTGGTAAATGGCGGGTCCATTTACCAACAGTGATAATAATAATTAAT